CCGGTTTTCGGCGAGCTCTCGCGCAGAACGAACGCGGCCCCCCTTGGCGAGCGAACGGCAGACGCGCGGGATCGAGAAAGATCCGCGAACTGCATTTTTCGCACTCGACCTGCCGAGTCGCGGAGCGAACAAAGACCAGTGTGCCAATTGGAGACGGGAAGCTCTGCGAGACATGGCGTGAGCGAGCTTTTCGACGCTCTCGACCTTGCGCTCAATAACCGATGATTGTTATTGATAGGACGCGCGCGCGTGGCCTATGTCCTATTTTTCTCGTCTGCGAGCACTTGTATCGTGCGCCGCTCTGCCAGAAGATTCAATCATTGCTCGCAATTGCCACGGCGACGTCGTCGTGATTCTCGCGCAGCTTTTCCAAGTCGGCGCTTCGCGCACGCTCGCAATGACGTACCTCGCATTACCCGCGCTGCCGACGACCAGCTTTTCCACGGTGACATATTTCGCTTCCTCGTACTCCACGCACAGATGCGGCATTCGCTAGATCCCGTCTCTCCGTGCAATTTTAATGAAGCTCGCTGTACGAATGATCGGCGATTCCAGCGACGTCCGACAACGAGGCTATTGATTTTTGACCTCGCGGAATTTTCAAAACTCGTACTCGCGAATCGTAATTGGCTCTGCATGCTACGCGAACGAGACTTCAATTGAGCGCATCTCTTGGCACAGCGTTATCGATCACATCGACTATTATGCCTACACACGCACGCGTCTTTCTGCCTTTGATCTTCCCGGGCTGACGCGGACATGGTCAGATGGGATAAGCAAATTACCGCTCTCTGTTCGCGCTACACGTCACTATTTACGACAAACTACAAATGCCTAATTGGATAAAGGAAAGAGCTGAAGCTTTTACGATCGTATTTCGATGGAAGTTTCGCGCGTGAAATTAACCATTCGTCAAAAGTATAACTTTGAATTCTCATGACGACGAAGCGATTCAAAAGTTTATTTTCGCGACTAACTCGCGCGAGTCGTAAAGGGAAGCGGATGGAAAATTGAATTTCGTGTATGGATTTTTAACGAGCCTCGGAGTCAAAAATTTACAACTACGTACACAAGTGCGCGCGCGTGAGAGAGAGAGAGTGACGCAAATCCCGACTGCGAAGAAAATGCAAAAAAAAACAAAGGAAAGAAAAAAAGCGCAAATCGCAACAATATCTCGTGAAGCCTCGCTGCACGGCAATTAAAAACCAGCTGCACGTAATAAGCCGGTTATTTACTTGCCGGCGCGTTTCGTGAAAAACCGGAGGGAAAGAATCAACCGATTAATCCAAGCGTGAATTTAGTAGTCGGCATAATACGCTGCCACCAATATATGCGCGTATATTTTATCGGAGTTTGGCGTTGGTGAAGCCATTTTCTCTGTTTGCCGTAAAATTCAATATCCTACGAAAGCATTTAACGAGGTTATTCAGCGAAGAGAGGCTCGCCCCCCCCCCCCCCCCCAGCCCTCTCTTGAAAGGATTGAGCAAAAAGGGAAAAGGTGAGTACTTTAAATTTTAGGGCCTCCGCGGCAGCGTCAGTCTACTGGCTTTCTAATTTCTCGGCGGAAAGGAAAGCCACCGTGCCGCCATAACCACCACTGCTGCGCGCTTAATTATTATGAAAATTGTGCCTTTTGTTCTTTTTTTCGCGCAAAAAGCCCCCGCGGACTGAGCTTTCACGCCGGGGATTCGCGCACAGAGAAAAAAATCCTCTGTTTTTTGCTATTCTTACCGCGAGCCTCCACTAACGCGCTCCTGCAATTATTTCCGAGATTTTATGGCTACGCGGGAGTTGGCAGCCGTTTCGGAAAAGCCGAAAAGCGATCGCCGCTCTCCATTACGCGCCTTGGTCATTCGAACATTTTTCTGCCGAACAACGCGATTCGAAATCGAAGAAGCTGGCTTGCACGCCAGGCGGAGAGCGCGACGCTTCCGCGAGCAGAAAATGATTTTTGCACAACATGGAACTCAGGAATGTCTCGTCGAGATTTTAGTCCGAGTCGACCCCCCCCCCCCCCACCCCGTTTCCGCTTGCGGGAATTTCATCTCTCTGTTTGCCTGCCCTCGATGATTATCTCGACGCGCGATATTGAACTTTGATTCTAGTATTCGCGACACGCCAGCGAAAAAATGTTGCCGTCGAAAGGTCGATGGTCAATGAACTCTGCCAGTACACAATAATTTTTTGAAAGCTCTGCGCGTACGTTTAATAAATTTTGAATGATTTTGAATCGACAATGTTAACGTTTACGGACAGTTTACTAAGGTGTCTCTTTGATGTGGGCTCAGGTTGCCAAATCGCCGGAAAAGTCCAGCGCATGCCACTAGATACTGTCCTTTGTCTTTGAGCTGTTACTGTAGTGCGGGTCAAGGGGGGAAGGGGACGGTTTGAAGTGCCGCTGCGCGCGAAGAGGTTTATGGTTTTGCAGTCTAGATATTTTGCAATTTTCGAGAACGAGATAGATCTAGGTCGAGTGCAAGGGCCACTTGCTTTTCCAAAATCCAATTACTGTCGGAGACTCGTCCTGCGTGTACCTGTCGCCATGTATTTGCTGAGACGTTTCGTATCCTTTAGTTGCAAAACTTGTTAGAACGTTACTTCTAAGGATTTTTGGTTTTGTTTACATCACTGATGAAAGCTTTCTCCCATTATGAAACCAGATTACGCGGCTTCAAAGCAACTGCCGTCTGATAAGATAACAAGCTTTCGTGACGTCAAAATATACTGATTCTTTAAATACGAAAATGCAGTACTTTTCAGTTATATCTTACAGTTACATAACCATAAATGTTTTTAGGATGTTGTCATGATTCTTATTACATTTTCTTGGAGACATCAATTCTTTCGTTCGCTTGGTAACGTAAAATCGCAATTTACACCGGTTTTTTATAAAAAAATAAACACATATTTTCTATTTTGACAGCGGTCATTTTCAATCACTACCTTCAAAGAAAATAAAGTTTAAACGTCGAATGTAAATTTTTGCGAAGACTTGTCGATATTCCAACTCAATGTTTAATGACAAATCATCATTTAAAGAGATTTCAATCTCATTAACAAATTGTCATATAACCAATATTCTACTTGAGCAGCTATAAGCTATAATCTGCCAAACGTTATTTGAACATTCCCGGTAAAGAATATAAACTGACTGCGCCGATGCAGCAGTGAAAGCGACAAAATGCACGTATGATAGATTGCGAGCAAACCAGCATTCAAAAAAGGAAGAAAGAATGACCACTGGAGAACAATAGGAGGCACCCGTAGGGCAACAAACATTTGCAGCGGAACAATATCGTTGCAGTTTTGCGACAACTATTTGGTGGCAGCGCATGTGGGATAATGTATTCGTGTAAACGCGGAACGGGCAATGCATATGGTATTTGAAAGCAGCAGCCGTTTACAGGGACAACGCGGACGGGGAGAACGACGAGGGAGGGTTGCACAATTATCCGATGTATATATGCTTTTAACATCTTAGGGCGCTCGCGTGTAAAGGGTATCGCGTGGAGTGCAGGTTCGATAGATCGATTCTATTATCGGTCGATGCGCAGCTTCCATTAGAGTGCCTCCTACTACTGCACCCTCATTTGGCTGATCCCCGCTGCGTGTCCGTATTCAACCTCGTTAGTCTATCGTAATTACTGGAAAGGGAGACGCGAGAACTGCAGCTGGACTCTAGTCGTTATTTGCAGTCTCGATACGTCGAAAGGCAGCATCGCGTGCATTAATGACTTCCAGACGACGAAAAACACAGCCCTTCGAACTGCAACATATGACCTTAGTGCAGCTGGCTCCTCGCTGCGATATCGCTGCGATTGGTCATTGCACCTGATATATATATATATATACCTCGCCATTAAAGGATGTTCAATGAGCGAAATCACGCCGTGGTTCGGAATTAAATGAACCGCAATTAGCGGGAATAACTCGCCTTAACAAGCTGAAAATCCACGCGTAAACAAGTGTATATGCACGCTGCAGGAATTCCAAAGGTGCGTGAGTTAGTACAATAGGGGCTATCTATCCATAAAATATTTCGTAAAATATTTCGGAACCGAATCTCATCACATGAACAATTAGCACACATTCCCCAAGCAAAAGTCGAACAACAATAATGTATTTTCGTGACGCGGCGCGTCGCCGCGACAAACTTTGCGCGAAAAGAAAAAGAGAGAAAGAAGGGCAAAAAAGAGAAGTCTCGCTCAGTTTAATGTTAAAAGCATTCCCCCAGGGCGAAAATTCGTACAATCGCTTTTCTATTTTTAATTATAATGCTCAGTTGAAAAGAAGGATCCAGGACGAGGATTCACTCCCCCGAGGGAAGTAAGAGGAGAAAAAGTCTCCGTAATCTTCGGGTGCTTTGAAAACTTGCTTTTTTTCTCGCGAACATCTGCGATTCTGGTTATTTTTCGACTCGTGGCGAACTTTTCTTTGTTAAAAGTGGCCGCGTTACGAAAAACAAAATTGTGTGGTGCATGTGATCCATTATCGTGCCAACCGAGTGCGTTTTTTTTCTTTTCTGCGGTTCGAGGCCGTCACACGGTAGAATATCATTAAATTTATTCACCTTGCCGCGATGAAAGGTCTACTTCAGTCGCACGCGCCTCTTCCGCTTATTCCTATCTCTTGACACTTTTTTGTGGAAGAAAGGTTGTGTTATTGCGTTTCTTTTCTTCGTTCCTCCCTTTTTTACTTGCACAATGCGCCTTTATTTTTTTTACGAACTCGTGTTTTCACCAACTCAGTTTACTGCTATACTTCCGCAAGATCTATTTACTTCTTCATAAGGTACTTTCGTGTTGTTTTTCTTCTGTTTGCGACTCAAGCTCGTTTGTGTCCTTGTTCGAAACAGCGCGCTACAAAAGAGATTCGCATGCGCTCGGCCGAGAAAAACGAGAGGACGTGGTCGCAGCTTCGGAGCGAAGCTCGCTTGCGCGGCCACTGCTACACGTACGCCAGGTACAAGTGTGTTGATCCACGAATCGATTGTGTTGCAGGTGGAGCTGAAGCCATTGCGCGAGACGAGCATCGCCGTCCCTCCACAGCCGCCCAAGATCCTGGAGAAGCGCAAGACCGAAGACACCGAAGCCAGCAAGGACCTTAAAAAGGTACGGTGAAAAAACTTTGTTGCCTTCGTAACGAGCGAGTTCCTTGTAATTGCCGCCTAATCGTAAAGGCGAATGAAAAGTTTGGGCGAGAGAGGGAAATAGGCCAAGTAGTCTGCTGGGATGTTTCCTTCGCGCGAGCTTCCATGAGGGTTACGGGGCATTAAGATGCTACCAATGCAAAACGCGAGCTTTCCGATCGTTGTTTTTATCGCCCCTCAAATGGCATTTATCGGACGATCGCTGCGATAAATCCCCCGCGGAGCGAACTACTGCGCACACAATGCCCGCGTGCACGCGGGTTCAGCGCCAGAACAATAGTCTCCGACGATCGATTGGCACCAGTCGACGTCTACTGCCCTTCCCCCTGCGTTTCCATGACTGCGTTCGCCTATCGTTTATTGCCATCCTCGAACAAGAGCCGCGGCTTTTTTTTGCATTTTTGCAGCTCGCGGCTTGCTCCTCGAGTCAGATGACGCGTGTGCCAAGTTCGCGACTTGCTAATGGATCAGTCGAGTCGCGCTCCATTCTTCATCGAGCAACGCCGATCGCGCTCGCGCGCCTCGTCCATATCTCGCGAAAAAGCGAATGATCGATCACAAGTCGGATTCGCTTTAGCTTGCGCGCTTGCGTTACTTTGTTTCGGCAGTCTGAGCGGATGAATGTCGCCTTCTTTCTCCCAGTCAATATTGTCTGAGCTAACCGCTTGAATACACGCGGATGGGAAAACAATCGTTGCAATTAAACTACGAGACCACTTGAGGGGTATAATTATTTCTCTCTACTTCTATTACAAACACACTTGAAATCTTGAACAAAAGCTATGGCGTCTTGTAACGAAACTCAGTACTTTCGAAGGCTAGTCAATTGTTTGGAAAGCAAAGTCAACTTTGCCGCAACAGAAAAAAAAAGAAAAAGATAAGTAGATTACTTGCCATCGCATCCGCTCATTAACCCAAGCTTTTGCGCGTATAAAAAAAATCTTTAGGGCGCGCACATTGAAGTAGCTTAGAGTGGCCGTACAGCTGTGCTCTAAATATACATATATAAAAAGAAAACGTGATCTCTTCAAAAGTTTTCCATCCCAAGAATTACGGCTGACATCCACAGTAAGTCTCAGTCAAAACTTACTAAATGTCTAGGATGCCGTTGGAAAAAAGAATAGAATATCTATAGTCCAGTTGTAATCGCACAGCCAGGAGTCGGTTGAATGAACCGTCAGCAACAGGCGACTGCGACTTTTATTTCCTTTGTCCGTGCGCTCGCGCATAGATACGTCTGCCAAGCGTCCGCCGAGCAACTTTTCAGCGCGCGAGATACGCGCGAGTCTCTGTTTTCATTCGGAGCGGAAAAATTGATATTCCCCCTGTACTTTCTTATACTCTCTCGCACGAGGAATCTGCTTGCTCAACCCCCTTTTGTTCCCTGGGTTGCGTACGTGCCTCGAATCAGTCAGTCGCGAAAACTTGTCTGACGAATGAACGAATGGCGTCTCCGAATTGAATGATCGGCGAAAATTTTCCGGATTATCGTCACCGAGGCAAATCCCTGTCGCGTCTCTCTCACTGCCAGTGTGTGTAACACACGAGGGACAGTGAAAAAGACTTACTTACGCTTCGCGCGATGCGAGAAATGGACATTCAAATATCGGCTCTGATTTCATTGACTTCTTTGACGTCTTTCCAAATTACTTGGCCACCCACGCTCCTGAATTATTCATGAGCATAACGCGAAATTGCCGCTACTTATGCTATATTTTACAGATTGCAGTTACGAGGCTGTATTTATTTATGCGCTGTATGAATTTTAATCGCATCTCGAGAGATTTGCATTTACAGTCGTTTCATTATAACTCGCTCACTCTCCGCTGACATTACTGTTGAAAGACGACTTATTTGCTCCTATAAATATAATTGAAACCTAGATTATTTCAATACTACGTTTATCTTGGCGATTGGCTCATAATAGAGTAATAGAAAGTATCTGTTCTGTTGAGGGAAAACGAATTTGCATATTTTTATAACGTTACTGAGCTCTTGGGGTCGCTGACATCAACTGCTCAAGCGAAAGTGAAATAAAAGAAATTTGTTCCTCGAGGGAACAAAGCCAATAACCCGCTTTACCTTAGCCCCCATTATCTGGCTTTTTCTTTCCAACAACGAATAAGGGTCAGCTCTCTGTGGTGCGTTTTGCCCAGGAAAAAATGATGAACGAAAACTACCTGGCTTCTCAGGCTATACGCATGTGATGTAACTTTAGATTTTTCAATTTATGGAGCGTAAAGAGCTTGATAAGTATACTCAAACGACGTTGAGAAGTGATTCGCAATAACATTTTGCTTTAATATAAGTGCAATAATGGAAACGTAACGAGAGTTTGAAACATAACTTTCTAAGTAAATGGAAAATATAACGCTCTTAATCCACGTTAATGCAATCCCACGGGTCTCGCAGTGCGTTGAAAGAACTGTTAGGCGCGCATAAAAATTTGTGAGTTCGCGCCGCGCTACGATTCTCTTCCCAGACAAAAAGAAGCCATATTCCAGAAGCACTTGAGCACCCTAATGTTCTAATGTCCATTGAAAAAAAAAATGGGGGCCCCGCGCATTCATGCAGGAATTTACACCCCTGCAACAACAATCGCAGGGCGGCGGCTTTGTTGGCTAGAAAATTAGACTGCGCGCGCACGCGTACACAAGGGACTTTCTTAGCGCAAGAACGCGTACAAAGTTTCTTACGCGAACTGCAGTGGTACAATAGGGAGGAAAGAACAATCGCGTCGTCCGCATCAAAGACGTACACACACGCACGCGCGCTACACAGCCTTTGACGTTGGCCGCTTTCACGCGTGGCGACTGGCGCGAGAGCGAGTGGGTGGCGGCGCTGCTGGTTTCTCTGTTTATCCGAGGGGAGCTGCTTTTGTTCGCCGGACTGAATGGGCGTCTTAACGTAATTACGACGCGGCAAGATCGGCCATTGACGTTAAGAAAGCGAGAATCGCGCCCCGCCGTCGACGATCGCTCGCGATAACAATCCGACGCATACTAATCTTGAACTTCTGGCACTTAGCTTCGTCAAACGATGTAATGCCAGTAGTACAAGCCGACGTTCTCTCAGCCTGGCATTCTGCGAGAGACTTCTCATTAAACCCCCTGGCCCCGCTTCGCGACTGTCCGCGACTTTTCTCTCATTTCGCTCCTATTTTCTCGTATTTGCATATAGCGAGTAAACAATTATTCCTTTCGTCGAGGGGCGGGACAACGGGGCGCTTTTTCGTGTGCTGCACTGTTTACAGTATCTCTTTGGTTTTTATTTGCAGGCGAAATTGGAAACGAAGGCTCTGAAAGCGAAGAGGCCCGGATTCACCGACGAGCGCTACAACGAGACCAGCTACTACGTGGAAAATGGTCAGTATTACGACTGCACTGTAGCGCAATATCCGCGCACTCTCTTGTCTCTATTTCGAAACATATATTTTTTGGCCGCTCGATGTGGAACGCGCGGTCAGATGTCGAATTTTAATACGATTATAACGTTTTCGCGGCTTCAGCCGCGCGCGCGCGGATTCACTAATATCCAGGATTATCAAACTGACAATTATCGCTCTGGAAATTGATAAGCTTTTACGGGCTCGACGCGCCGATATGGAGCGTTGAACATTTCCAGATAGAAGGAACGCCATACGTAACGAGAAACTTTCACAAGGGAATATAGCCGCTCGTAAAGTTCCGGCGTAGTTTTTTATATTACGCCCTATATGTTTTTATATTGCGTCAACCAGACCCGCGCCAAATAATATTCTAATGCATTTTTTTTTTGCCTCGCGCGGATAAAACAGATACTAAGTGTTTAATTTTAATGCTACAAAGGGGCCATTTTATACCCTGAGAACGCTAGAAAGTTTAAACTTTAGCTTATCAATTCGCCCGAGCGAGAGAAAACGTTGGCAAGCGACACGGTGCTTTTATTAATCTTCCTTCTTCTAGAAAACGTTACACCGAGATAAAATCGAACTGCAAATGCCTTTTCCATTGCCATAAGGGAGAAGAAGATCGTCGGGCGAAAAAAATAGGCCCGCGTGTAATATCGACAACCGATGTCTGCTCCACATTCGAATAATTTTTTTTCTTTCTTTTTTTTAGTGACGGCAACCCCTCGTAGTCGATGAAACAAAGATCTATTAATGCCACTCGACGAGTACAGGTTCTCGAGACTTTAAGTTCGGCGTCTTTTCTTTCTTATTTTTTTACGGTCATCAGACACGATGAATGGTTTTTTAGCTTGGCGGCGAGGGCGACGGGGTGTAAGCCTCTTCAATTTTTACTGGCAGTATTTTTGAGAGGCACGCGCTTCTCGAATGTCTTGTGCTAATTCCTTGTGAGCTTCCTATACAATTTCATGACGGTTTGAAAATCGTTCGAGCCTTAGAAAGATTTTTTAAAAATGTGGTTTTGAAACGTTAATGTAACTTCGGACGATGGCATTTCATTTCAATGTAAAACCTACTGTTACGACACACTTGGAGAAAACCTTGCAGTGGCTATTCGATACTGAAATAATTTTGCAGCGATTTTGATGCATTAACGCGAGGCCAACGTGCTGCTAAAACGAGGTACCGATAATAATTATTCCGCTTCAAGTTCTCGGCGTGTGCTCGAAAAGCTCAAAAGTTACTCGAGCGCACGACAGAATTTCTTTTGTTAATAATTACTTCACATAATAACTGGGCCTCGACTAACAGTTGAAACGTTGAAACGTTGAAACGCTGAAATGTATTAACGATATCAGTCCAACTAATGTTTAGCAAAGGCTTATCAAACACAAATGAAAAACAATTTCGTGTACATGTTTCGCGCTTGGAAATAGCAAGTTAAGCGAATTGCCCCAACGATTCCAACTAATTATAAGTCGAAGCACGCAATAACCATTTGCCGATCGAAATGAAGCGGACAAAAGAGAAAGAGAAAGAGAGAGAGAGAGAGAAATTTTTGCCTAGTTTGACCCCTTTACCACGAGGTTAATTGAAGCTTTTCCCTCGCAACGAGCATTTTAATTATTTTGCTACGTTTTTCGTAGGCTACTAATGAGAACTTTTGCTCGCGTCTCTTTATTTTTTGCGAACAAAAAAGAGCGAGAGAGAGATAGCGAGCCTTTGACATCTGTCTTTCAACGTGTCTCGCGGTTATTTACGTCGATAGCTAAATTAGATGGGCGTGCGATGTTCGTTAACGCACAGACTACTCTCGTGAAATTTGGATACCATTATTACACTGAATTGCTCTGGAAATGTACTCGGCTACTCAAGTTATTCGAGCACAGCGATTTTCGTAAAAATTGCAATGATCGCCGATTTCCTTTTTCGCTCGTGCAGTAATATAGCAAATAATCCGTCAAGTCCGTCCAACAGAATACTAATGAAAGCTCTTTTCCCGCGTTGCCGTTCAATTGAGGTCTAATGCGCTTACGGTACATTATCTTTGTATTATATCAGAATTTTTATGCCTTTTCAAACGTATTTACAAATCGTAGCTGTGAGGCTTTTGAATCAATAACTCACTTGAAAATTTCGTTGCCTCGCTGAAAACTTTGCTTTGAAATTTTATCTCATTTCTGTCTGCGCCTTCCCGGGATATTAACTTCTATTTTCATATAGTATTTCAGAAGAAAAACTTTGCACCGTTAAGAGAGCAAAGCCTATAAATCGTAACTACGAGTTTTGGAAATCAATATAGACCGCGACGCACTCGCAAATATTGGAGCTTGAAAAACACGCGTTAAATACATTTTGGCACTAGCAATAAACCATAAAAATGATTTTATATGTGATATACTTAACAGACAAATATTAGGAATCCTGTTTGATGCCGACTAGTGGTATCGTAAAAATAAATATCCGTTGAAGACGAAATACAAGTCCCTACGTTTCTCGCAGCTCGAAGAAAATGATAATCCGTCTCTCTTGCTCTCTGCTGCATATCTTTCGAAATCCGATCATCGTCATACAACAAAGCTATCCTCGAGGCTCTCGTGGCAACCGGCGGGCAAAGAAATTTGTGTCGTCCGTGTAGCGAAGCAACGGAAGAAAAGCTTCCATGTCGCAAGGCAAACCGGTGCGCGGCATATTTACAGAGCAAACTGGCATCGGCCGATGCAAAAGTCCGGCGTCTAGGCTTGTTGACGCAGAGCAATATTATTTTTGCGCGAGGCAGCACGCGCGAGCTAATTAGAAAAAGAAAGGAGAGACGAAAAAGCGATGAACTTGCCGCCAGGTGAGACGCGTATTTGCGGACGGGCGTTTAAACGCTGGCCCCAGGCCAAATGGTCCCGCGCCCGCGGAAAAATAGCTCTCCGCTGGAGCGGCAGACTTGCAGTCGACTTGCGACGCCTTTTATATTTAAACTACGTGTGCATAAATATTGTCGCTGAGATGTGGTTTCTCGAGGTCGTCGGCTGTTATTATCGTCGTATTGCCGCTCGTTGTCCTGTCGATTTTTCCTAATTGCGACGAGTCGAGCTTGTCGCGTCACCTCGTAATATGGCCTATGGTATTTTTCACGGGCTTCAAATAGCCATTTGGTTGGCTTTCGAATGAAATGTTTCAGTTTCAAGGAATGCAATTTGTATCCTGCGGCCACAGTGTTGTCATTAAAAAAATGTCGCTATTCGTCTGAAATAATGTTCGTCGTAATTTTTCAAATATTTGTTTCCGCGTTGTACAAGACAATTTCATTTTGCAACGCAGCATCTGCAGAGTAATGACAAAAACCAATCTCGTAATATTGTACATTTTAATCTTGCACGCTCGCGACAATGTACCGCAACACTTGACGTTCAATTGCCATTAACAATTGAATTTTAAAAGACCGTCAATGAAGCCCAAATGTAAATTGTTAAGCAGGAGAGGCGAACAACTGAATGACAAGAAAGAAATAAAATGAAAAAAAAAATGAAAAAAATGTCCCGCTAGGAATAAACCTTTGTCCCCGGTCACAAAGTTATTACATTTTTTTACGGACGGCGGTGAATATTCGATTAGGCCTTCCTTTTGTTTTGCTCAAGAGAGCTGAAGCAGCGACTGGGAGGCGAGAGTACGTGATTCAAATCTAGATATACCCCGAGGTCTTTTGTCCGCTACGTCGATACCAGGATTTGGTTTTCTCTGCCTGCCGGCGTATTGTAGTGCCTAGTAAAACTAATTGACAAGTTTTTCTTCTTCGTCTTTTCGTTCGCGAGACGCGGCTGGTATACGACTCTGACCTTGTTCTTGTCCCACGAGAGCCACTGGCGTAGATATATCTTTTTTACTTGACTCGGCGAGGGAAAACCTTTTTCGCTTCATGCTTCGGTTAACTCGTGTGAATTTCAATAGGCCCGAGCTTGAACATTGTGTATTCAACTCGTTGGAGGTTGAGGTCGAAAGGGTAGAAAAAATAAGGCGTCCGAGACGTTGGAAATACGTAGTGTCATGTGGGGCTGTTCGCCTGTTATTAGGTTCCGTGACACACAGCGCGCTGAGATATTAATCGAGCTAAATCCCTCGAAGCTACGTTATCTATATTCGCAAATTGGATTACCGGCTAGCTCTTTCATTTGCACGCGTGCCACTATATTCATCGGAATTTTTGAGCGCGATAAAAAAATATTATTACAACTTCGGCAGATTTCCAACGAATCGCTTGTCCCTCTCTTGTCTATGTCCTCGATCCATGCGCATTTCTTATCTCCTAAACTTGGAAGGTAAAGTCACCGGGAGAAACTTTTATATTTTCTCATACAACACGCCTTTGATTTGACTTTTTTGAAGTTTATTGTCTGCTCCCCCGGGCACAGCAGGATTACAAGTGGGGAGATTCTTCGTCTCGAGAGCTTGACACTTATTAATCAGTCATCGTGAAAAAAAAGAAGTAGGTCGAGGGATGAATCTCCTTCAGAATTCTCACCCCAGGCAAGACTCATTTAACGATACACCGAAAAAAATGGCATCCGAATGCTACATTCAGACTCCTCACGATAGTTCTACTAAAGCTGTACTTGAAAAAAAGCAAAAAACATTACTGGAGAGAATGTAAGAGTTCAAAAAGATCGATAAGTTCACCTTCAGTTCTCCGGAACGAATGAAGAGCTCATCGTTGGATCAAAAATCTTCCCAAAGTTAGGACTGCATTATTTCCGCAGGAACCTATTTGCCCACATCAAAATTCTATGCTAATAGCAGTAATAAGGAAAATTTGTTGAAATATTACGTAATAAGAAGCATATTATTAAGCCTATTAGATTAAATATTAGAAAAGCCGTTAGTCATGTTAGTCTTAGGAAAACCTTAGGGCAAATTAATAAAGGTGTAGGACATAAGATAAGAAAACCTAAACAAAGAAAGATTGGGAAAGTTCCAATATCAAAATCCACAGGGAAACATTTAGAAAGTGAGCCTGCTTTAAATGCATATATTCAGGATTAACTTTGCGTAGAATACAAGGGCTCCTGTTTTTCACGCACGCAAATGAGCCCGTAGCTTTTCATCCGCTTGCGTCGTAAAAAAGAGCCGGCAAATCGAATCGTGTGCGACAAAACGAACTCGCGCAGGAAATAAGTTCTGTCCTCGCACTAGGCACGGCAGCTAATAAATCGAATTCGAAGCGCAGAGCGGAGAAGTTGCTAGTTGTAACTATATCTCGCATTGACAATTCCTTTGCTGAATTATTTACACGAGTTGCAGATTTGCTTGCCTTCGAACGCGTCTTTTATTTATTGTCGGATATAATGGATTGAAATAAAAGTCGTGTGTTTGAATTGAGTGAATCGACGCGAGAAAGACAACTTTATAACGTAGCGCAGTGAATGCGCATACACGTATGTTTTTCAATCGCACAGTTATTGGCTCTCGCTGCGCGAGATAAAAATAACTTGCAATATTTACTGAAGGCAATACAGCGACGAAGTGGAATGAACTTGTTCCTTTCGTATTTCGACGAAAATGTAAAAAGAACGCGAGTGCGTCGTTTGGCGTGTTTCACTTAATGCCATCATCTATCTCAGCAGCTCAACTAGGCGGAGGGGGTCGACTTTTCAGACGAAAACCAAAGCACGTGGGCAGCGACGTCGAAATTCGGAGCAAAGCGTAATTACGACGATCTAATTTGGTTCGGATAATTTTTTCTTTCTAATTTTAATTTTCCCATCCTAATTAGTTGATCGTGTGCTCTCTCTCTCTCTCTCTCTCTCTCTCTCTCTCTCTCTCTCTCTCTCTCTCTCTCTCTCTCTCTCTCTCTCTCTCCTCTGCTCTCATCTCGATCGAGAACGCGGATGATCGCAAGAGGATTTTCCAAGACGCGGAAGTCTCAACGAATCGGCGCCGAATGTTTTTCAGTCAAAGGCAAAGCGAGAGACGAATGGTCTTTTACGAAATGCTCGCTACTTTTTCAATTGCATTCACGTACGGAGAAGGGATTTAATCGCGTTCACGTGCCGAAAGTGGCCGTACATTGGTATGCGGCGCACTCGGAAAAACAAATGGAATCAGTCTCTTAATCCACATTGGCCTGTGCGCGAGAGGAGCGAATTTTCATTGGAGCCGAGGTAAAAAGTTGAGTTTGCGATACCCTATCAAAAAACTTTACACTCTACTTGGCTGCGGATAAAAGCTCACCTCGTCGATAACCTTCACGCATTCTTCCGACGAGCTCATCCGTTCGATGGATGAGAAGAGTGCAGGGGAATTTTAGTGGCTTTGCAAGTTCAAGCGCGCGGGCAGCTTTTTTGCCGCTCTTTCTTTCCTGTCTGCGCGTAGCCCGCAGACGGCTTTGAAAAAGAGAATAGCCGACGGTAGATATCGCTTCGCGCCGAACTTTCAGCCAGGTTTTTTTTCATCGCTCGTTCGACCACGAGTAACTTGTGATTTTATTCGAGTGTTTGACGAAGAAAGAAAAAAGTCATAATGCGCGATGTAACGCAATTCGCCGGTAAAATTCAATTTCCCTTTTTCACTTTGGCCTCGACAATGCAGCCTATAATCTCGTTATCCCGATGAAATTTGCTTGCCCGTATAACGGGGCTAACGTTGCGTTGTTATACACTGGCCAATTGGTCTGATAGAATGTAAACCCCGTTACCTTCTGCGACGTTCCAAAATGAAAACGCGGCGCTCGTGTCGCGTCGTAATCAACTGCGCGTCTGTGCAACGAGAATCCAATTGAATCCCGCGAGAAAGAAAGAAAAGACTAATCAACGAGTAGTTAGAGGCGCGACACGCTTGTATCCCAGGGAACGTTCATTATGCTCTCGCGCGCGGCTAATAACGCACAAAAGAGCCATTGTTAACTTTAAATAATCCCAGGCGCGTCCTCCTTTTCTTTGCTGTGCCACGCGGTGATTACGGCAGATGAAGCGTCACGCGACTTGACACGCCTGTCAACTGCGAAATCATCGCGACTTACGTTTTTTCCTCTCTCTTCTCGCGAAACGAGTAAGATCGGCAGCAGCAGCAGCAGCAGCTGGAACAGCTGAAACTCGCTGGACGTTGTTGATGATGTTGGGTCTGAGGCAAGGTTGCTTGTGGCTGTTGCAGGTCTGCGCAAGGTGTACCCGTACTACTTCACCTTCACGACGTTCACGAAGGGCCGCTGGGTGGGCGAGAAGATCCTGGAGGTGTTCGCGCGCGAGTTCCGCGCGCACCCAGCCGAGGAGTACGAGCGCTGCATACGCGCTGGCACCCTCACCGTCAACTACCAGAAGGTCGACGTCGACTACCGGCTCAGGCACAACGATCTCCTCGCCAACGTGGTGCACAGGTCAGTGAAATCGCCGCCTTTTCTGTCCGCGACACACTCGTGTCAGCTGGCCAGAGGGCGAACAAGCGAGAGGGGGGGGGGGGGGAGAGAGAGAGCAAGCGAGCTAGCGAGAGAGGCGATATGTGTGTCTGTATCTGTGCATGACGTAACCGCGCATCAAAGCGAGGCACAGCTAGGTCTAGGCCACCAACGGACGCGGTGGCAGGAACGGCGTGGCGCCATATCCTTGGCATCGATTTTATCGCGGAAACCACTGCGCTGCTACTGCCACTACTGCTGCTGCTGCTGCTGCTGCCGCCGCCGCCGGCGCCGCCGCTGCTGCTGCTGCTGCTGCTGCTGCTGTTTCTTCGCGTACAGCACGCGTCGCGGATCAAGTTTCGGGCTTGAAACTCGCTTTTACGTACGGCCAAGCGCTTTGTCGCTATTTCTGGGTTAGCCGAGCCACTTTTCGTCGGAACGCTCGGCAGTTTCGTAATGAAATCAATAGCTAGCTAATTCACAGTAGGTCAAGCCAATTACACTACGAACAACACTATCTTTCTTTTTGCTTGCCTCGGCTGCATTTGTTATTCCATCGCGACGTGCCATTAGCATATACGCGCTCGCAGTTTTCTCGATAAATTTCACGTTGAGCGCACGTGAAACACCTGCGTATGCAAATACACTAATTCAGGCAGCATACAAAGCGGCACCATCGGATTCCGATGTTGCCGCCCCCTTTTCTTCTTCTCATTCGCCTGCCGCCTGATCTTGAAAGAATAAGAGCGCCGGCCGGGCTAGCAAATGCAAATTTTTCCTGCTGCATCTTTTATTCAAATCCGCGATTTATGCACGCGCATATCGCGAAATTCGATTACGTCGGCGATGGCGTCGTAGCATCAAGGATCCCGTGGCCCTGCCTCGAGGTTCAAGGGATGTTGCGTTCTCGCGCGAAATCAATCGCGTGCGCGTCACTCCGCAGCTTCGACTGTCCTGCTGGCGATCTCGGCAAACGGCATTTTTTTTCCAGGCACGCTCTTCCATACGAACGAGGTCGATCGGCCTCGTATATGATTTCGCAATAAAACATCGGACGAACGTTGATGAAAGAAAAAAAATAGATCGAGAAACGATTTGATTGGCATTATTAACGCGCCATTATTAATACGTCCCTCGTAAGAATTATTTTCTGCGAGAATTCTAAGGACGGCGTAATTTGCGAAACAAAGGGAAAAAACGCCCCGAGCTTAGGGCAGCGGACGCGAGGGTCGATCGTCGCTAACGCGCGACGAGTTGGTATAAACGTTTATCGATTCGTTGGGCTTAATTAGGCACGAAATTTCCGAGGGCGCGTATAATCCACTGGATAATAGCTCTCCCTCTTGAGCGTTTAGTAATTTAGTTGCGTCATGCGAAGTACTGCCTGTCTGTGCACACATACGCACAGATAACGCAAGGAAAATTGGAAGCTGTCAAGTGTCAGCGAGTAAATGGCAACAGGCAACATGTCTTTCGTCGCGCGGGAAGTGTGTGTGCGTACTTTGTTTAAGACTGTATTTAACGAGTTGACCGACCATCTGCTTTGGTACTTTAGTGCTTTGGAATTGTTATATTTGTTTTCGTTGTATTAAGAATACTCTCGATATATTACAAATGATTTCAATGTCACGAAAGTTGCACGATCGAAGGACCTTCACGACGTACCATTAATTTTTATAAATTCATGAAAATCCGTTTCATTTCGAGAGCTTAGACGGCTTTTATAACTAACATATAACGTGCCATTATCCGCACTGTGTTATTATTATACGTAGAGAATGAGCTGTAAAATAAAAAATAGTCAGCATCTCAAGTGGCCTAATCACTGTCAATCAATCGAAACCAGTTTCTGAGCTGAATACTTTCAATAAATGATACAATTACAAAATATCGCCCGTAAGTATTCAATAACTTAACTGAGCTACTTAATCCCTAAACAATCCCCTCGGAGAACAGGCTCACGTACAGCCTTGTGAGCTCATTTTTCACCAGCTATCAAAAGAAATTCACACGTCAATCAAGCCAAATCCTGTTTTCCTTTCATGCGCGCGCGCAGCGAGCAACTCGTACAAGAGGCATCTGGTCGTGGTGGTTATTGCGCAATGCGGCCTGCAGTCGAATTGCGCAACGCTCCGATCTCTCATTGAATCGTCTTCCAACTTTCGCGTGTCGTACTTTCGTGTAATCTTCACGCTAATTGGTCTCTTTGTCGCGGCGTCGACTTTTTCTTTTCAATCGGCAAGTTTGCGAAAGGAAATTCGTACGCTGACGGTATTTCTTTTATGACTTCACGACGCCACGTGAATCGCAAATGAAAAAAAAACAACAATCTGTCTACCAGCTAAAAGGATCATCGTAATAATTTCTGTTTCATCGCGTCAGGCCGACGTTTTCCCGCGATATTTCATCCGTATATTAGGTATAGTACGACCGGAGGCGTATCAGCAGATAAGCATTATAAATAATAGATGAAACGACGATAAGACCGCGAGCGCTTGAAATATGTAGGTATATTGTCCGCGAGCAACAATTGGCAATCATAAATTTGGACGAGTGCTCCTGTGGGCGCGCGAAAGGGAGCGAACTTTGCGTTTTAATCGCGCGAGCATTGGCACAATGCGCCGCAGGTCAATCTTGCCGATGGACAAAATAGCGCACGCACGCGAATGACGCAAAGGCAGTAGAGTAGAATACAGCGAACAAGACAGTCGCGTAATTGGCATCGCTTGAGAAGCCTTTGTCTTTCGCAATGGATTATTTTTAAGCGGACGACGTCGTCTGCGCGAGTTTTTCAAGGCGGAGCCGACACGGCTGTCCGAGGCCCCGAATTTCACGATTTTCCTCGCGTCAGGATTCGCCCGCGTGCTCGTACCTCCGAAAGCGCGTACTTTGGCTGTTTTCAGCGTGCGCTCACTCGCCGGGGATTAATCAGCGAGTTTTCACATTAACGAGTACGTTTGGTCCGCCTATTCTGGCGGCTAATTTATCTTTTCCTTTATTTTTCGTCGGTCTGCATTTCACTCGCTAATGACGACGCTACTCGCGTGGTTTTCATCGCAAATCGAAAATAATCCGTCGAGATGGAAAGCCCAGCCGAGCGCAACATCCAAGACTCTCGCACGTATAAACTTGTCCAAGTGCCCTTAGCATTTTCCAGCCAAGTTCAAGCGTACGCTGCTTCGCTTTACAGCTTCCAAACTCCAGCTCCGCGTCTCTGTGCGGCGTACATCCTTCGAAAGTTAATATCCCTTTAATATAACGCTGCCACCACGGTCTCGCCAGACCTCTGCTTGACATCTGAACCCATAAGCTACACGCGTACGTAGATTACTACTGCCGAACGAGGTCGTCGTGAAAAGTTTATCGATGCACTCGTCGATTATATTACGCTGCTCGTTCGTTTGTTTGTTTGTTTGTTTGTTCATTCGTTCGTTCGTTCGTTCGTTTTTTTCTCAAAACCTCGCGACGTCAACTCACGAGGGGCCGAGTTTGCCAATATATTGCTCTCGTGCCTAGCGTACCGTCAAGTTGACAGTTTTGTATGCATCCATGACGCGAGAGACTTTTGCCGGTACCAGATTTTTTTATATTTTCGTTTTTCGGGAGGTGAATTCTTTTTACATTTTCATGTGCAGTCACCATATGATTGATTATTTTTTTCGATGCCAAACTTTCCCTTGAATGTTTTATTATTTGAAAAGGCTTTTTAAACATTCGCAGTGGCACTAATTCAGATTTCAATTAATTTGTAAAGATTTTGTTGTGTTTTCCGGATACTTTTGCGGATCAAAATATTTACAACTCGCATGGGCAATATCGACGCCTTGGATTATTTTCTTTTAATATTATGCATTTGGCGTACGATACATCGCACCAAGTTGTTATTGATCGTTATGATCGAATTTTTCGCTATCACTCTTTTAACATTGGATCCAAACGCTTACATCAATATCAAAGTTTAGAATGTTTCACAAGCTGTTCGGAAAGATATTTGAAATATAGTATGGTCGATTCAGGTCACGATGCGAAATAATCCAATCGAAGATCGGCCGCGAAGTTCGCCATATTATATTAAAATCGTCAATAGACCCCTAACTGGTGCATACGAGCGAGCAAAGCTTCGTTAAATTCCGCAGAGAAGGCCGAAGACGAAAGGTGTACGCGTCACGCGAATCCCCTTCGGCGCGAAAACACACATACACGTGTGCTAGCTGAACTACATTTAGCGGACCAATGGATCGATCATCGCGCGCGTGTGTCTGCGCGTTTTATTAGCGCGAGAGAAAATTGAATTTTTGACCGCGGTAAGCAATTGTGTAAGATACTCCGAATGAGCGCGCCTGCTGGTTTTTTTTTTTTCGAATGACGGCCAGACACAGCTGCGGTCGCGTCGTTGATTGATGCGTGTTTGCTGATGCTAAACTGTCGTGCGAAGTGCGCGTCACCGACAAAACTCATCGGTAGGGAGTCGTCGGTTAGCCGCGCGCTACAGAAATTACACACCAAGAGCAGATTCCCACGAGAAAGCCCGATCAATCGCCATAATTACAGGTGGCGGAGCATTTCTAAAGCGGTGGGGCGGCGAGTCCAAGTCCGATGTTGGGCTTGAAAATAAAACGCGCCGAGCGCGCGTGACATGATAAACTGACGTCGAGCGCAAATGGCTCATTATCCCTTCGGCTTTCGTTGAGCCACTGAAATATGGCCGGCACTCGCACACTCCTCTAGCTTATCTCCGACACTAGCGATTATTTGGCCGATAACGAATCGATATTACATTTCGATGATGGCTCGTATTTCCTTTCGTAAAATGCGCGAGCTATCTAAACTGTCGTTTGCCCGTGACACGTATACATTTGGATTTATTGCTGTGCGATCGCGCGTCTCACGGATGCGTATAAAAATCACTCCGCGGCCAGTTGGCCCAAGAACATTCGAGCCGGCCGGTGCGGAATCGCAGCGCATACGTCGATGCGGAGGCGGGCGGGCAGGATTATCGCTTCCTCAGACTCTAAATCAACCGAATCAACGCTTCCGATGATGAATGCGTTGCAAGTGGCGAAAAGGCCAGGAAATCAATATTTGACATGCGGACCTAATCAGGAGGAATGCAGTACGGATCCTCGTCGTCGTCGCCGCCGCAGTGCGTTAATTGCGGTCGCGCGGTGAATTCGTTAAGCCGCTCGCTAGCTGCTGCTACTGCTGCTGCTGCTGCTGCTGCTGCTGCTGCTGCAGTTCGCTTATGATAGCATGCAATCAAATTTACGATTGACGTACATGCGTATGTCTCGCTCAGTCTGATTCCAATTCTTTTCGTAATGCTTGTTAAACGGTAGTTAGAAACGATCTTTACAGCATAATTTACCGCCGGTAAACCGTCGGTACTGGTACTTCCAGTAGAATCATCATCTATCATTTAGTTTACTCGAATATTCATTTAGTTTGCAATCAATTGAACTTGCATTGTTTAGTATACGCTCGTCCGTATAGAGCTTGATGAATACTTTCACATAAAAGAATAATAAGAATTTCACTGTGACTGGGTTGCATTCTACAAAACCACGTTACTTTATATTTTTTTATTTTACAAATGAAAGACAAAAGACCTGTCTTAATACAAATTATTAATCACAGACGATATATGTGTTTATATAAATAAATAAGAAAAAACTAAATAAAACTCACTCTCTCGCTCTCTTTCTCAAGTCAAAACTTCTCTCGTCAATATACGTAACAATAGTTCTTTGAGTGTATCAGTACATAAAAAGCATGTTTCGTAGACAATTGGCACGATAACGTTTTCTTAATTTCTCGCTACACAACGTTTAAAATACCCGTGTAATCTGTGTGGTTGGTTATTGGATCTTGAAGTAATTCAGTCGGCAAAAATAGCAATAATAACGATGTCTAATACGCACTAAAGTGTGCTGAAAGCGAGACGGAAGCGTTGACAAGGGGAAGGACAGAGCGAGCGAGAGAGAGAAAAAAAGCCACTATAAGCTGGTACTGAATTTGATTGTGTTGCAGACACGAGGTGCCAGTCACCTCGGAGCCGATCACGGTGATACACATGGACGAGGACGTCGTCGTGGTCAACAAGCCCGCCTCCATCCCTGTAAGTGGTGTACTGCTAGAACTGTACTGCCAAAAGATGACAAAAAAAAGAGACAACTTTTTTTCGCATGCTCAGCCGTTACGTCGCCCATCGCACTCTCTGTGTTTTATCTCTCTGCCTCCCTCATCTGCCATCCCATCGCCCACGTACACATTACACCTGTGTTTGTCTTTCATACATCTGTTTGATGGAAACGATTTCAGAAAGGCATAAATCTGACCTATACTCATGTATATGCTGATAGTAAGTTGCTCATCTATGCTCTTACTCTGCTATCACAGTCGTCCGCTCGCATGATGTTTTTGCCATTGTCTCGTCGGATGCCTTGAGAGCGTTTCTGAGCGTTTCTTGATAAAACTGCTAGTATCTGTCTGTACATTCTCACTTCAGCTTGCTTGTCTGCTGAGAGATACGTGATTTTGATTATTCATCAATTGGCATCGGACTGCATCGTTTTCAATATATGTTTCCGCGCTGATTTACAACAACGTTAATCTTACTTTTTTTATCATATTTCACCGATAATTTTACTCCATACTCGAGTATCTGCTCGAAATCTTTATGTTCGCTCACTTGTGAAAATATTTCGTTTTCGAGCAATTCTATCGTAAAAAATTCAACGCGACTGTACTGCTTTTTCCGTGAAAATCGCTGATCCTCTCTAAAAGTAGAGCAGCATACATACGCAGCAGAAGCGAACAAAGTAGATAAGTAAGCTTGGCCAAGAAAAGCACAGATAAACTGTCACCTGCGAGCGAAAGAGGAAGAAACAAAAGCTACAGTAGTAGTGTTTAACACATATCGTTTCAGCCAAGATGAAGCCCCCCTCTCCCCTCGAAAATTTATATACTCACCTCGACGTTTCTAATCTCGTCGTCGTCGCACTTTCCGCGAAATGGTGCTTTTATAATGTAGCCGCAAGCGTAAAAAGTTACTTCTACCCTTGCGCCAAGATTAGACAGTTTACGTTTATTTTTATTGTTGCGCGCGCCGCGATGTCATGTCGCGGTGCTCACTGCTGATTTGATATTCTTACGGCTGACCGGATTCGGCGTCTTTCACTGCAATTTTGGTTTTTATGTCGTTCTTATGCGGTTAACCGTCACTTTTTTTAGATTTAATGTCGACGTGGCGTGAAACTAGCACTCAATTTGAATTGTGTTTGTTTCTATCTGTCTTAATGAATGATATTTCAAGAGTCCGTGTTTCTAAATTACATTATAAATAAAGCGGATTTCTCTGTTCATTTATCAAGAGTATTGCAACTTAATATTTTTGTTATTTACAATGCTCAACGATAATTTCCTTAAAATCCTTTGTTCTACAGTCAAACGACGTTATATATTTTTTCATTAAACCGCAATCCTATCGTCGAAAATTTTCAGTCCATTCTATTTTCTCATTGTGACCGGAAAACAATACTAAAACGAATATAAAAAGCGTAATCTCTTGAGGCTGCTCTTGCAATTTCTACCCGCGACCGTTCTTTCTTCTTATAGATCGCTTCCTCTCCCTTCGCCGACATTCCCATCACGATTTCACAGCAATTCTCCGTATAGTCGACATGATAAACAAAGCCATCGCATATAGCAAGCAGCCCCGAGGCTTTTATAGTCTCAGCGGCGCATTCTCCTCGTAGCAAGTTTCTCCGCGCGATGGAATGTCAGAGAGCTTCATCGTTGAAAGCTCCGCGGAATTTTTTAATAAGTCTCTCGTTTATTATTTACCGCCGAGGCAACTTTTTTCATCGTCGCTTGCTTTATCGCGTTTTATTGCTAATTTGCGGGTTCGCTAGCGGGGCAAAGTCGATTTATTATCGCGAATCCGTCGCGTTTACCTTCCACCAACTCTTTGCTTACACAGGCATTAACTAAGAAAACCAATCGTTGAGAAGTTTAGGAGTCATCTTTTTTTTGGAGCGAAAAAAATTGGTTTCAAACTTTTTTAAGCTTTGAAAGTTGACGCAAGGGCTTAGAGATTGGTCACTCAAGCGTTTTAGATGAGTTTTATGAATTTGAACGTTAGATGAAACGTTATATGGGTAGCCTCTCTGCAAATTTGAAACTGTCGATTAAAAAAGTGTTTCTTTCGCCTAACTTTAACGAGTCGACTTGATGTTGCGTTCTCCTAATAAAATTCTCTTAGCCAGTTTACCGGCGTCTTGAAAATGTTAACCCTATTCTTCGCAAAATAAAGCAACGGTCGAAAAGCCAGCCTTCGGTTATGCGGAGCAGGATGAAAAACGGTGTCAATGCACGAACGCGTTGAAAGAATGATCCAAGCGTTAAATAAACGATGGCACGAGCGCAATTTCGAAAGCTTGTATAAATACTTGAGTCAGCCGTGAACTTCTCTCCCTGCAGCTCACTACAATCCAAATCCACGTGCGAGAGAATTTCTTTCAAGCTCGCTTCCTGTATACCCGAAAACTAAGTTCAAGTCCGAGAAAGAAGAGTGAAAAAAAGTCAGAGATAAAGAGAGATTTGGAATCGTTGGCAAGTTTTCGGCTGCTACCCTCTTTTTTTCTTGTTCCATCGATGTCGACGAGAACGAGAGAGTGACTTTTCTATCTTGGATGAAATTCTTTTGTATAGCAGACGAATCGTTTCTTTCGTAACTTCAGTGATACGGATTTTATGAAACATTCTTAATAGCGATTACTTTTGGTCGTTAACACGTCTATGGACATGAAAAAAAACACCCACAAAAGAGAAAAACTTTCAAATACAGCATGTACGCGAGTATATAAGTTTGTGTTTAGGTTTTCGTTTACAAATCATACTCATTCAATCGACACGAACAACTCAACATCAATCGTATTTAACCATTTTAAACTTTATTTTCCATTAACAGAGCTACTTCTCTTCTCACTCATCTTCAGAACAATCAAAACAAAGCTCCTTATATCATGCATGCAATAAAAGCAGTTTGCTCTCCTCCATTCTCACAAGAAAAACTTATGAATTAATAATAATAATAACAATAACAACAACAATAATGATTACAATGACAATAATAATAATAATAATAATAATAATAATAATAATAATATTAATAATAATTTGAAGAGAACGAAACGGCGTGATTTTGCAGGTACACCCGTGTGGACGCTACCGGCACAACACCGTCGTCTTTATTCTTGCCAAGGAATACAACCTGAAGAACCTGAGAACCATCCATAGGCTGGACAGACTGACGAGCGGTATTCTCCTATTTGGCAGAACGCCGAAAAAGGCGAGACAGATGGAGCACCAAATTAGAAATCGGCAGGTACGCGCAACGAAAATTCTTCCGGCAAAGTTCATTGAGTTTTGGCGAACGATTCGTCAGAATGTCAAAGAAAGGAGTCGAGAGTCAGGCGTGCTATCTCTCGCGAAACTCGCTGCCTCTGCGAGAGCATTGCTCCGCGTCGACAACTCGTAACCGGGATTTTTCGCGCAGGTGCAAAAGCAGTACGTGTGCCGAGTGGAAGGCCAATTCCCGGAGGAGGAGATCGTGTGCTCGGAGGCAATCGAGGTGGTGTCGTACAAGATCGGCGTGTGCAAGGTGTCGGACAAAGGCAAAGACTGCGTGACCAAATTCAAGAGGCTGTCGTTCAACGGCACGTCGTCGGTGGTGCTGTGCCGACCGCAGACCGGACGGATGCATCAGATACGCGTGCACCTGCAGTACCTCGGCTACCCCGTGGTCAACGACCCGCTATACAATCACGACGTGTTTGGGCCGCAGAAGGGCAAAGGTGGCAATATCGGCAAAACAGACGACGAGCTGGTCCGGGACCTGATTGGCATTCACAACGCGGAGAACTGGCTCGGCATGGACGGCGACTCCGAGATGAGCCTGTTCAAGTCGAAGCTCGATCTCGACGACAGAATCCCCAGCGACAAGGAGGGTTCGCCCGCCTCTACGCCCAGCTTATCCGAGGACGATCAGCAACAGCAGCAACAGCAGCAGCAGCAGCAGCAGCCGCAGGTGAGCTTTGAACCCCTCGTGTGGGCAGCCCAGTCGAGCCCCATTGAACGCTTTCGCTCGTTTCCACAGCAGTCGCAACAGCAGCCGCAGCAACCCCAACAGTCTGCACAGGCGCCAGCCACACCGACACCAACGGCAACGTCCTCGCTGAAAGTGACGGTCGGCACGCAAACTGGCTCCGAGCCGCCGGACTCGACCTTCTCCAACGACAAAGTGACGGTAGATCCGCACTGCTACGAGTGCAAGGTGAAGTACAGGGACCCCAAGCCGTCGGACTTGGTCATGTACCTGCACGCGTGGCGTTACTGCGGCCCCGGCTGGGAATACGAGACGCCACTGCCGGCCTGGGCGGCCCGCGAGTGGCAGCCCTCGCCCGACGAGCGATAGTCTGCCTGTCCGCCTGTCGCCGCTGCTGCCGCTGCTGCCGCTGCTGCCGCTCAAATCTCGAACGATTCTTTCATGATGCAACAACCTCCCGTGCCTTTCGCAAACTAAAAGTCGTCATCGTTGTCGTTCATCGTTACTTCACACATAGCACACCCAATCAAATATATCCTCCTTATTTTCCCGATAAAGTGTAAATGAGAAGAGTGAACTCGACAGAAGCCTTCGAGAGCGAGACACTGCGAGCGTGCAAAAGAGTGTGATGTATCAGAGCTGGATGCTTGGATTTTTTTCTTTCTCTTCTTTTTTACTGCTTCGATAAATGATAAATTCATGAATTGACGCGAATGTATTGTGATTGCACTTTGACAGATCGATGGAAATAGTCACGAGTGAATTGTCCTGAAAGAATCTATTTTCAACGGTTTGGCATGTCATTCGGTTCATGGAGTGGTTACGTACATAATTATGATCAATTGTATAAATGTATCTGCCTGTGATTATGATAATAATATTGAAGACGATGAATCAATAAATCAGTGATCGGCGCGGAATTTCGCGCTCGTTATTAAAAAAGAAAAAAAGGACGAATACGAATAAGATAATACAAAAAATGAAAATCCAATAATTGAAATAAAACTTTATAGTAGCAATCTTAACAATAAAACTAAACTGCTTGTTACATGCTTACAACTCCTGAAAGACGTCATTTATAATGAGTAACTACTGTAGACTGTTCAAAGTGAAAACGTATGTTTGCAAACATCCAGATTTGGTATTCAGCTCTGATTAGGATATATAAATATACTTTTACTGTAATTCATATCGTTTTGCGTCATACGTGAGGAACACTGTGGAAGGGATCAAATCAGTCTCTTATTGAAAAACTTTACCAAAATACAATGTAAAATATTGTTGATAAGCTTTAAGAAAAAATCTTTCTTTGTTTAGTTTTGACTTTCTTCTTTTGTAATAAAAAGAGTTAAAAATACAGGAGAAAAAAAATGTTTTTGTTTGGATATTAGGATATTTTATGGATTTTTATGAGACCAATTAGAATCATGAAACCTATAATGGTATAATTTTTATCTCCTCGCTGACTGCTTTTAAAATTGTTGAAAAATGGAGCTACGCAGTGTAGTGTCAAATTTAAGGATACAGATTATATAATTATTAAAGATATTTACTTGAAGCGATCTATGGTAGTGAGTTATTAGGTTTCATGAGTTTTCAAAATTAGCTTTCTTACTGTTGTCCCGAATCACTACATGCATATCGAAAGTATGAGAAATATATAGCTAAGTGATTATAAAGTGAACGTAAATGCGATAAATTCGAAACAAAAAATAACGAGGAATAATAGAATATTTTGTAAGCCTTGTGTAGAATATTGTAGAATAAAGTATCTTGTAAATCGCTAGATTTTTCAGTTAAAACTTTAATACAGATCCGTAAAGCTATTTTATTCCTCTGTATCCTTAAAAGATAATTTAAAATGTTGCAAGAGACATATCTGTTACCATAAAATAAATGTTGATCGGAAAAACGCGACATGAAATCTATGATATTTAAATTTATACGTTAGAGTGTTCTTGCGACATTTGAATACGTCATATCAATATGCAAAGATCAACCTTGATAATGTTAATGAATCCTATTTAAAACTATATAAATATCGTATAAAAAGATGTTGAAGCTGTAGAGTTAGTGAATGGTTTCATTGTGTATTATTAAAAATATTATTTTTAAAGCTGTGCGTTAGTAATCTACGTAAACTTTAGATGTTCATGCATATTGATTCCCTAGTATATAGATATGTATAAGGGCGATCTTTGCTTATTGAGTGTACAGCTGTGAGCTTAAAAATATATTATACTGGTGCGATAATTTCGACCTCGTATGTAGACTATGGATTTTCAATGCAAATTGATATTGACAGAATTGTGCTCTTATGTATGAGTGTTATATGCGTTAGAAAGGGTATTTTCAAGATTAAATAAAAATCAAAAAACGATATTTAACAAGTAAAAAAGAATAATGATAATAGATCACTAATGCGATGACAATGTTCATGTTATCGAATTGTTTCTCTATAAAAATTGGGAATTAAAATGTACAAAATAAGCATGATGAGTATATTATATACATATGAAATATAACAAAACATATAAGTACTAGATGAGCAAATTTTTAACAATTTTTTAAAAAAATACTCATACTTACTGTTATTACAATACTGCTATATTGGCGATAGAAAGAAATAATAAACCACAAATATGAATTTGCATAAACTTTTTGAAAGAGATTTGTTGGAGATAAGATACAAGGGAAATTTTTAATGTTTTTACGGATGAATATTGTAATAACATGAAGTAGAAGAAAGTCCCGTTAATATTTAGCGTATAATATTAATAATGCTGGAGAAAAGCTCCAAGTCATTTGACGCTCACACGCTCTGTCTAATGAGCTAAATTTTTTAAAAGAACCTCACTACAAATAAAACGATGACGCATCAATTGGATTGGAGCTTTTTATGCGATCAATAATCTCTCGATAAATGCTTGAAAAGATCTTATTTTGTTAAAGATTACCTTGAAGATAATTATACTAGAGATCATGTAATCAAAGCAAGATATTTAAAAAATTGCAAGGTTTCATCAACCGACCTACAAATAAAAGCAGCCTGTGCGTATGCTTACTTATTTGACTATATCATTTATAATTGAACGAAATATTCAGATGTAATGGCTACATTTATCTATTTAAGTATTGAACAATATACATATGATGAAGAAAATAAAAATTAAGACAGTCTTGATTAGTAGCACAAGAAGACACCGGTCTATGAATTAAGCGAGCGCTTTTGTACATATTGTATACGCACATTGTACTGTATTAGTGTAATGTAGTAGGATAAATTGATAGTCAATTTTTCTTGTATGCTGAACGAATTATTGAAAAAAAAATGATCGTTCGATATTTGGTCGCGTTATTTCTACCTTCTTCTTGATCGATGGCTTCCGGCGAGACCGATTTCAACTTTCAAGTTTGTTCTCTGTGAGAAAAACGAATAAAAGGCTTACAAAAAACTAACTGTTATCTTTTTACATTATATCGATAACGAAGCTCAATTTACTACAATTAGTATCCAAAATATTTCAGACGAGAACAAGATATCAATGCGGAAAACACTTTTCAGACTAAAACATAGTACGAACAGAAACTATTCAGAAATGTGCATTAAAAAGCATTAAAACAAACTGATGAGATCATTCAATGAGATTGGTGATTACGTATAACAGATGTCTTTTTTAACTGTAGTTTCAAATTTTTGTCCATTATGGGATTCCAAAAGAAAAATAAAATTATGTCTTAATGAACTTTTTTGTAAAATATTTTATTATAGTAGGACTATAATTTTGAGAAAAATTGATATTCTTGTATTAAAAAATATACTTCAATTTTTCTGTCAGTAAATACATTTACTTCAAGTCCAGATTTTGACTTTGATAGACTCAATTTCGAATTTTTCGCCTAAAATTTATGGGAATAAAAAAAATAATATTCAAATATTCTAGAACAGTATCAATAATACCCCGCTAATATTTTTGGACAGGCTATATTTTTGGTGAAAAGTAACTGCTAGAGCGTGCAACAACTAACAATTTTAGTTTTAACAAAGATCGTAAATATGTAATAATTTAATAATTATGAATTATAATAATTGCATATTCCATTAAAACGAATAATTGCTGAAGTAAGAAGTTGCAAAAACACACTGCGTAAATAAGAATATGTCAGAAAACATATTCTAAAAGCTACAGTCAATGTTTGGCACTATCAAGATATCACCATGAGAAATATAAACAATCTTTCCTGAACTGATTTAACACATGTACTATTTAAAATATATTAAAAATAGATAATGTTACCCAGTGATACAAACGCTCCACTTTCCCTTATAGCTATGACTACAAATTAAAGTAGGTGAATATAAGCAAACAAACCTTCAAAAAAGTAAAAGTCTGGAAGCAGTTGTATTTTTCATCATTTCATAATTAAAACTCATAATTAAAATTGAAAAAATATATAATTGCACTATTTAATTTTAACCCTTTGTCTGTTACAGCAATTATTACTGCGATTAAATCCAAATTTAGACAATATCAAAGTGAAGAAAGAATCTATATATCTATTTTTAAGTATTCAAAATTGTTTTTCTCTGTAATTTAGCATTGTTTTAAAAATTCTGCTCCTATAACCTTTCTAGTCAGAGGAGGCTACTTTCCACTTTTAAGTTATTTAAAGCTAAATGAAAGGATTACAAAGAAACTAACATACGTTTTTAACATTCCAAATCTTTTTTTAATAAATTAGAAAAATTTTAGTTATATGCACTTTTGATACAACAAGGTTGACATATTATGCAAGCTCATTATTACCTATTGGAACTCAGTATACAAATTCATATTAAATTAATCTAGTGAATATACAAATAATAGAAATAAGAATAAAACAGGTTACAGGAATGATAATATTTCTTAAGACACGCTTACAATAATAAATAATCTTCTTATTTTTTACGATCCCCTGTAAATAAGAAAAAAATTATTAGTTTCTTTTTATTTATAAATAAGCTAAAGAGTTTGGAGCTGCCTTTTAATTCTTATAATTTTGGAATGTAAATTTTTGAAGCTCAAGTTTAACCAGTTTAATAAATATTTTATTAAATCTTGTGTCAATATTAGTACAAGAAAATTTGATGACACTGAATTACTTCACAAATTACAAATTGATTTTTTCGAAATAGACTTGATTGAGATATTAGTTTCAATTTAATTTTGTATGATATGTTACCTCTATTTACTTGGCTCAATCACAAGATAAGTTTTCATTAATTTAAAAAAATTATTAAGCATCTAGAATAAAGTATTAAAAATATAGTATGAGACTGATTAAAGTTTTGTTATTTATAACCCATTTCTTTGATACAATTAAGTAATAGAATAGTAAAGTGAGAAAAAGTGCCTGGAGTTAATATAAATTCTCTGAGAACTTTAAAATATTAAATATATTGTTAATTCAATTGGTAACAGTTTGATTAAAGGTTATAAATATTAAATACATTTGAAAGGCAATATAACTCTGAATTGAAAATTTGTCAACAGCTCCAAAACTATATATATTCAAAAGTTATAAAAAGATTTAGAAATAAAACTTACACAATAATGTTATTGATGGGGATATGTATTAGTTTAACAAAAAATCCAATGAAACCCATTATGCAGAAGCCAATGGCAGTAGCAATGGCAATCTTTTGAAACTCTGCAAAATCAAAGAAAACAAAATATTCAAATTTGCTATCACTACCACACTAATTGTAGATTGAAATACTGTCAGTATGTTATACACACCTTTGCGATCTGGTTTGGTACACCTTTTCACAAGACGAATGCTGTCTTTGGTGAATTGCCTACCAGGGTCAGCAAATTTAATGATCTGATCCATTTCTATTTAGTTATGTGTTTTGCCTGTTAATTATAGAACACACAGATATATGAATTAAAATATGTTATTGAAAGGTTAACCTATATATAACACCTCACGCGAACATTACCGTCATTCAGTAAACTAAATGAACTGAATCTATCTTATACGTTTGTCAAAAACAAGTTTTTTTTAATTTAAAATTTTGAAACACACCTTCTACAAACATTTATTGACAGTGTCATTTCTTAAAACAGCTTGCAGTAATTCGCAGTTTCGAGAAACATCCATCAAGTAATGTTAAAATTATCAGGTAATGTTCTAATGTGCATTTCGAAGTAGTTTGACTTACAACCACGTAGATTTTTAAGAGAAAATTTAGTTAAAAACTACTTACACTTGTTAGCGCTAAACGATGAACTCGTACACAGTTGTTCGACGACTAGAATGCCAGCTGCCCAAACCACGGAGAGAAACCCTATATGTGGACGTGGAACCGTTGTTTTGAGGGCACGTCACATCCGACATTTTCGTGCTTCGTGGCGTCATCTGCAAAAACTTGTGTGCGCAGTGCGCACTGCACGGCCTTGACAGGCGCGAGATTTCAAGTATTTCAAATTCTAGATAACTTTCAAAGGATATGTTAGTTGTTCTTAAGTTCATGAGCAACTTTTGAAATGATGGTTTATAATCTCGAGTCGAGTTCATGTATCTTTATCGAATGAGTTCTGATAATTGATTAATAGTAATTATAATTAAAATTGAACTTTCAGCTTTAAACAGTTTATCGATTTTGCTCATTGCTGTTTCATGCTAAAATTGATTTGGTCGGTTTAAAATTATACTTGACCATTCAAATAACTTTAATGAATGTAAAAACAAACAATAGCTTTACTTCCATCGCTAATATTACATGACAAGTTTTCAAATGATAGAGGGATTGAATGAAGGTTCAACAACGAATCATTTGCGTACAACCGCGAAATTCAACACTCGAAGCAGAGTGAAACGCGAAAAAAATCCTCGCTGGCAATTTCTCATCAATTGATAGAACATTTAAGCGCGAGTTTCCTGAAAAAACCAGCTAACAGTCGTCGAGAGAAATGATACGATGCGAAACCGAAACGATTAAAAAATCCAACGAACTCATGTCTGCCAAAAATGAGCGTGCTTTATGCAACGTCCCCCCGGCAAAACAAACGAATGGCCTTCCTAGTTGCAAGGAAACGAAAATGTCAGTAATTAAGCGCCTTTGAACGACGAGCTTGCGACTCGAGTACGTCGACGGCGAAGGTTTATAAAGTCGGCTGGTGGGTGGATTTGCCGCGAAGCGCAAACGAAGCCCGTCGCACACGCTTTATTCGAGCGCGTTCTCACGATGCGACTGCTCACGATACTACTTGCTGCGCTCTGCGCTGCCGTTCGCGCTGTCGAGTTCAAAGATTGCGGTGAGTTTTCAATCGGTTTTACTTTTTTTTTCACTTCATAAATGAGATTTGCTGTCTTTATTCAGTGTCTTTATTTATTTTTCGTAAATTGTCAGACTGTGACTCTTGTCACTGTCAAGTAATCAAGGCCTCCAGTGCGATAAATCCAATTTATAATACCTTTATTTTCGTTGGAGTATTGGAAACCAAAAGTGAAATATAAAAACACATCTCTGGTCACAACACATGTTTTATCATTTCTTTCTTTTGAAACATATTTTTCGCCGTGAATAAATAACAATCACTTGTCCATCAAAACATGAAAATGACAATCATTTACGTAATCGACAAGTAGCCCCGAAATCACAGTTTCCTTATGCCTAATTCTTGTACAAGGAAAAACTCAAAAACACAGCCCATCATGTAACAAATCCTGCCGCGCATCGCGTTGCATAAGTTAATCAAAGGCTTCCAAACGAAAAACAGCCTGACAGATCAACGTTTCATTGTTTCGCTCGCGTTTGAACATTAACGATCGAGTATAGTTATAAAACGTCTGATTACACGTGTTCTCGTGCAGGCTCGACGTCAGGTCAGTTTGACAAAGTGGAAGTCTCTAACTGCGACCTGTCAAGCCCAGCGTGTATTTTGCAGAAAGGTACCGATGCTTCGATTGGACTACATTTCACCCCAAGTGAGTTTAGCGAAACAATCATTCCCAGTTTCCTAAATAAGCTACAATGTCGCATTTCATTTCAGACAAAGCAACGAGTAGAGTAACGGCAGTCGTGCACGGTATAATCGAGGACATCGACGTACCCTTTCCGATTCCCAACGCCGAGGCTTGTTTTGACAATCATTCGGGTGTTACTTGCCCATTACCTGCTGGAACTGGCACCAGTTACCACGCGACTCTGCCTGTTCTTACCAAATACCCCACGGTATTTTATTTATCTCTATCTCTTATTGACGATTTTACATTTCAATAATAGCATGGTCTATAAATTATTTCAGGTATCCGTCGTAGTCAAATGGGAATTGAAAGACGAAAAGGGCGACAATATTGTTTGCGTTGAGATTCCCGTATCGCTCAAGTAATTACTGATTGGTGATTTGCGGTATTTAATTAGGACTTTTGCGTTTATTGATTGGATGTACAGGATTTTCACGCTCATGAAAACCAATTGCCTGAAACTCGTTTTGGAAAAATTAATCAAGTTACTTTTAGATGTTGCAGATTTCATTTTCGTCTTTTTTTACGCAACACGTTAAGTACGAGTCATTTTATTTTATGTAAATCTTACTAAATAAATACTATTATTTTAAACATTATTAGAAGAATTTGATCATCGAATAATTCGATTAGAGCGAAATCAAAAAAGGATACAAATCTATAGATTTCTATCTTCGTTTAAGATAACATTGTTGTAAAAAGTCTACTTTATTTAAAAAAATAAAATATTAGATTCAACTCGAAGCGGACTAACACAATTTTATTTCAAAATTTACCCACTGCTTTCCTAAAGCATATAGTTTGTGACCGTAACCTATATAAACTTTCGGAATGTATAGAAAAAAATTGAAGTGATTTCGTAGGTTGCAAAATATGATTTATATTTTAATTTTTTTACAAGCGTAATAACAATTACTAAAAATATGTAAATCTTAATTAATAAATATTATTATAAAAGTATCTAACCAAATGAGTATTTTCGTTTTATGACTTCCCGTAAATAAATTACTATCTCAATTTTATGTCGACAAAATGTCAAAATATCGTCATGTAATTATTGTATTATTACGCTATGTATCTCGAGATTACAAGTATGGTAACTAAAAAGGTTTTTTTTCGGATGATAAATACACACGCATTTTTAACTTACGCAAGTAATACTATGTGGACGCTCTTCTTTTTTTACAAAAACTAAAGCTATTAGGAAAACGTTCACGATTCGAAGACACTTATTCTCTTTCAAAGCACTTTATGTTTGTATCATAAACTCATAATTTATAAATTTTTCGACAACGCAAATTTAAATTAACGTAAAAATAATTTTTTCGCAATATAAAATATTCTTAACTTTCGGACGCAATTATAATACCGTTCAATTATTTTAAGGGAATTTTACAAGCTGTTCAATTTGCATCTTATCATGAATATTACGTGATTACTTTAAAGTTTGAAAATATTTATGCTTAGAAATACTATTTACAGTCGTCAAAATCGTTAACATCGTTAACTGTACTGAAACAAAAAGTTAATACATATTTATATTCAAAACTGTACAAAACACGTTATCAGTATCTCAGCTTTGATTTAAAAAAAATTAATAAATAAATTCAGTTCTAAATGTTTTAAATTTAGGTAAGTCTCTTGGTAACTTTGGCACTTTAGTGGTATCAACAACTGTCCATAGCTTCAGTTCTATCATCTATTTCAAAACCTCGTTTATTTCCATGGTGATCAGGAAGTTGACCATTTTTCCACAGTCTCTGAGCTTGGTAAATGGGCTCATATTCACGCAATTGTGCCATGAATCCATCATTTGGATTGATGCAAAACCTCCTCTGCTGTAGAATGGCATAAGCTTTCCTATAAGATAACATACAATTTTGAAAGTCTGTAGAACAATAGTTTATAATCAAAATTTATAAAAGTCATCTGTCCTTACTGTTGCGTCAATCCATAGGTCTCCATCAAGTAAGCAAGTACCAAAGCTGCCGATCTAGAGATTCCTGCATTACCATGAACCAAAACTTGACCTCCAGAATTCAAAGCTTGATCTATGAACTGTTTAACTTTCTGGAAATGTTGGATAATGTTCTCTGTCGTAGAGTCTGCGATGTCCAAGACAAGATACCTATAACAATAACAAATTTAGAGTTAAGAATCAAGGATATATTCTTTTATGAAAAATATTAGTAATGTCATACTGAAATCTTTCAGGAAAATTAGGTCTGATGAAGTGAGCTTCTATATTTTGTCGAACACAAATAATATGAGTAATACCACACTCTAATAAAGAATCCAATTTAGATTTACTCGCAGCACTGTAAGGACCTAAGTATAACCCACGGACAATTTCCTAATAAAAGAAAGTACTTGTATAATATGATATCTCAAAATATATCAAATAGTAAAATTATAAGTATTGATACCTGCATACTCCTTCGCATGACATAGGTCCACTCTTTTGGGGTATCTAATCTGGTAGAAATTTTTGGATATTCTGTAAGAGTCTCACTATCCAAGTCAGTTTCCTATTACACAAAAACATTCTTTATTACCTTAACATATGTTATTTCGTTGTAATAATTATTCTTTGTCATTGATTTCTGAATGAATAAATTAAGAAAGACAGTAATTTTTCATGAATATAAACAAAAACTACCATTTCCTTTTCTCAAACAGACAATGTTTTTTTTAAGTCAGCAAGAATTTTACCAACCAACAAGAATTTTGCAAATTTTGTACAACAAAAATCAAAATACAATTAATGTCCTTGTTCAATTTAGCTAACACAAGCATGGGCAGTCAAAATAAATATGAGACAAATATGCCTGAATTAAGAATGAAAGTTGATAAAAATGTATTAAAAACAAGGAACGAGAGGATAAAAAACGTATATTCTAAGAAAGCTCAAAACATTACGATGACATAACCTCAGCGTTGAGCTTACCTCGTTCTGGAAAGCCCTGTTGTCCTCGGCAGCAGATAGCATGTCGTTTATTTCTACGTGCTTGATATAATGAACAATTAACTTTTTGCTAATGGATCGACTGCTACTTTATGAAGATTATCCAAGAAGTTGTATGTTTTGTTTATGAAACCACGTCTTTGTCTGTCAGCTTCGCGGATTTTTGCTCATTTTGGCGGCGATACTGATAAGAAATTCACAGAAGTCGCAGATTTACCAACGTGATCGTTTCAGCGGGTAAGTTTGAAATTCTCATAGTTGCGAACGTTTGATTTGAAATTAACATAGCATCTTTTTACTAGAATCATCAGTTTAGTGATAATTACAATAACGTTATTATATGAATTTTTCATACAAATTAAAAATGCTTGGTAATAGATAGAAGACAACAAGAGCAAATCTAATATATAAACTAATAGATTTTATTGATTTCAAATTCTCATTTAAAATGTTATAGTTTTCTTCGTATACGTTATTTTCGTATTATTGTATATATTGTATATATACACACGGAATAATTTCAATAATTGATCAGATGTGTTAACGAGTATTAATGATTACAAACGAGACCACCTTACGAAGTCAAAATCCAGCTCCTGTATAGAATTATATGTAAAGAAAATAAAATGGTTATTCTTCTATATTTTTGGCCGCCAAATCCGAATACGTTAGTTCTTTTTTCGAGAAAATGGTACATTTTATTTAAATTGGAATTGTTTAAATCAATTATGAACAAGTGACATTTTAGTGACGATAGACAATTTTTTTAATGATAATATGGCCCGTTCTAATATGATGAAAGGCTGTCTTGCAATTATTTTATAAAATGCATACTACAAAAGTTATTAATAGTTGAAGGTTTTAAAATTGACGTTTTATGTTAATTTTGGAGTTTAATAACTTTTTAACTACGATATATTTTTTGAACATCAGACATCTCATTTTTCTTTAAGACTTGCGCTACACCCTCCAAGCCAGAGTTTCCGCCGTTGAAAGTTAGCGCTCTTTCAGTATTTAAACGGCCCCTTTACTAACTATAAGACTCAAACGTGGCGCTAGTGCAATGCAATTTTCATGTTTGCAGATGATTCTAATTTTCATATTATTTCTTTTAAAGAATCTTAACGTTGAACAATGCATAGTATACAAACAAATTATTTTTTAATTCCATTATGCGGCCAAAGCAGTGTGCGTTTAATATCGGAAAAATTATTACGACATTCGAATGCTGCTTCCATTTTTCTTTAAAAAAAATTCAAAACAAGTAGCTTAAAAATAGAATCACGCTGTTGCGTGAACGCTGGAATGAGGTATGTCAGTTATTGATCTTGCTAGATAAAATAAACTTCTAAGAACAAGTGCTATGGGGTCAGTAATTCAAATGAAAGCAGATGTATTTACATAAAAAAGAATATGACTTTAATACTAAATTATAACGCAATTAGCAATATTTTACAGATAATAATACTCGAGATACGACTTTAAATATACTGTTATTCTTCTTTAACAATTATTTATTTTGACAAATGTTTGCTGATAATTCTGATTTGCGTCCAAAAAAGTCTATAAACTTTCTAACATATTTGACAATACGTAATATGATTGTTTGTTGTTATAAAATTATTTATAAGCTATTCCGTTCGAATTTCACTTGATGAAAAATGGAATCGCATTCGACTGTCGTGGTAATTTTTCAGATATTAATTGCACATTGGTTTGTTCGTATAATGGAATTAAAATACAATTTATCTGTTTATTGCATTGTTCGACGTTAAAGTTTTTTAAAAGAAATAATGAAGGACGAATTAGTAAGGTGTGCATGCATGGTACTAGTAGAAGGGTTGCTCAAACACTGAAAATGCGCTAACTTTCAAGGTCGAAAACTCTGACTTAGAGGGTGATAACTTTATATTAAAATACACCAGATAAAAATGATAAAAGTTAGTACGTGAAAACTTGCACTAAGTATTATTTTACGTTCCCATAAAATGATAATTCGATGAATAGTATCAATAAAACTGATCGTTGTATATCGCTGAAAAAATTTAATATTCAATTCTTTGTTCGATATAACGACGAAAAACTTGTGCAATAAACTACTGTCAGTGTTATTCTAAGCCTTCATACTAAATGGATGAACAACGCCAGTGAAGAAATTTAAAAAGTGAAATAAAAAACGGAGGTAACAAAATCTCGGATGGAAGAATACGCGCTGTAAGCATTTTCTTACTTCTTATTTATAACAAGTTTGGCTGTTGCTGTTGATGCTTTTGCCGAAGTGGCTATGTGTGAAGAGCAGTGATTTGTTGACAGGGATAGTCGTAGTATGTAGCGTTCCAGCAACAGTAGAACATTGCCACACGACGGCATGAGACGCACCATTATTTACATTTTGTCTCCTTGATAAAACGTTGTAGTTCTAGTGCAGCCTCGCGCGTCGCCTCTTGTAGAGCTCAAAATAGCTCAAAATTTGAAGCGGCTTTAGTTATAGAATGGACACGAACTATTGTAATAACACCGATCGACGAATAAATAACAGATCATCCACAAGGTGGAACAATTTGAGAAAGATTCTTTTCTATCATTGGAATAACAGAGGACGTGCATTACTGAACGGCAGTGCCTGGTCCTTCTAGAAGACGTCGTGGATTAATAATTTTTGATTAGGAATGGCTCAGGTTGTCGGTGTGCGCTTCCGGAAGGAGGGCCGAAAGCGAATACCTGCTCGAATAGAAGCGGCGGCTTCGACACGGAGCTTGCACGCGTGTAGCACGGTCCGTTAGTTCGACGAGTCTTCCGTAGCACCCGCAGTCGGTGCTGTCGGCTCCCTTGAGCTTCAACGAAGGCATTCGATGCTGTGCCCGAGTAGCGCGTTCGAGCGAGCGCAGGCGCGTGCGCGTAATCCGTAAATTATCGTGATCATTGACAATTTTCCCAGCAGCGTTCTCTCACGTACGGCACTGCAGTAACCCTACCGAAACTCGGTATGCGCTCGTACGTCCAAAGCAGTAATTTGCTCGAAAACTGCGCAACCGAAAAGAGAAGAAAAGCAAGCCGAAGAATTTTGCAATTTAGCTAAGCCAAATAGACTTCGGGGAGCGCTCGTAAAAAAATTAGAGAAACTGCAACTATAAAAGCAGCGGCTCAATAAAATTACTTCATTCGAAAAGAGCCGGGATTTCCATAAACGAGACAAAAGAATGGCACGCGCGCGCGCCGCACGTGCGCAATTTCTTCCGGGCTTTCGCAACGCGCGCCGCGCCGAGAGAGCGCGCGTCTCGTACCTCCGAGCCGATCTCGATAATCCGCCGGCGCAACGCCGTTGCGCGCGCGCACCCCGCTTGCAACTGGCCGCCCTCGGCCGGCGTCGCTGAGAAATTTGCCTGCGCCGGCAACGGAGGCGCGCGCCACTCCCGATTTGTCGATTTTCAGCCTCGGGCACTGGCACAGGGTCGAGATGTGTATAGTGCGAGCCGCCTTCCGAGAGGGACAGAAAAAAGGCGCGCGAGAGCGGTTTATCGCTCTCCTTGCGCTGCTGATCTGGTTTGCCAGTCCCTAATTGCCGTCTCTAATTGCGCATCGGTTTAGCCGCGCAGCGCGTTTGCGCGAGCGCGCCGCGGAAAAAAAGACACGCCGATCTCGTGCGCGTTGCGCCCGCGATTATCGCTCAATCGAATTAACATTCCAGCGGCGCGCGGACGGGCTGATTGACCGTCACACCCGCGCGCCTATTAGTCGGCTGCCGACCGCGCTGGCAAATCTTGCGCCTCCGAAAAATCTCGAAAGGTCTTTGCGACGCAACCGAACGGTTACGTAAAAACATTGAATTTCGTATGAAATATCGAGCAGAGAAAATAACTTGCCCTATTAACAATCAAGCCAATTGCCGGTGTAGCTGCGTTTCCAAACAGCGTGTACAGCGTTGCGTCACGAAAAAAGAAGTGCAGTATGTGTATAATACGATACGTAATAACAATGAAAGGCTCTGTGCCGCGCGGCGAAAGTATTAGAAATGCGTCGTGTTAACTCGGAGCCTTCGATACGGAGGCTCATCGCGGCGCGCGTTCCTTCTCCATCTGCCTCACCGATGGACAATTATTTTATTACTTAATCGACTTTCCATTAATTATAGTCGCGGATCGGTGTGCGTTTGCGCTCGAGATTTAAGCTCGGCAGAGCGTAGCTCCAACGGATTATTGTCAAATACACAGAGGAAAAAAAAGCAAGGGGCAGCGAGTAGTTATTAGCATCTTGCAACATCGGCCAATTTCGCGCGAGACAGCCCAATTATCCATCGGAAATTTTCGTCGGGGATCATCGACGCTGTAAGCAGCTCGTAATTCTCGCGTTATGCTCCCCCAATTTCCGCGATGATTATTCACCGGCGGCTAGTACCATTGGACGCCGATGGAAAAACTAAAATCAATCCGGCTATGAGTATGCAAATGCGTAAGACATATCCCCCGAGCTAGCGCAATTTCAGAGAAAGCGCAGCGTAGATCGCAGCGATGCGTGCGTGCGTGCGACGCGGAAGTGCAGACGGCGCGCGCGATCAAGTTGCGTTTTTCTCGTGATTCACTTCTCGCTGGCTTGGATTAATATTCGCTCGGCCAACTCCATCACTCGGGGCTACCAAATATTTTCGGTATTTTATGGCGAAGCCGATGGTTCTTCGCCGAGGAAAGAGACGAATCCTTGATCCACGGACACAATGCTTCGCAATCGTCGACGCGCAACGGCATGCTAACGGCGCAATCATCCGGTTAGAATTCGAAAAATTCCAAGGCGTAAATTATGCGTCATGCTAAGGAGACGCCCGCGCGGGAGGGAAAAAACCACACGCGCGTGCACTGTTCTCGTGAAGCGCGCGGCAGCGTTTCCTCGATCGCGTGCAGCGAACCGCGCGCACGCGCCAAATTACATTAGCCTACACGTACTGCGCAATCCGACACTCTTAGCCTTTAATGAAAAATTCTTTCTCGGCAATTAGCCGGCGTGAGTGTTCGGATATTTCGCCAAAGTGAAAATTTCGCTCTTAATTAATTGTTCGACTCCGTTTCCTTGATTCTGCCGCCGTCAACGTGCCCGACGTACAACTTGGCACGGACCAAGTTACAGTTTATCACGATTAATCGCACTAACGCTGCGTAAGAGGAAAATGGAAAGTATCG